TTCCTGGGGTCAAAACTTTCATCGGAGAAGGTTTCCTTTTCACTCCAGTTCGTGTTTTTGCCCAACTGAAGCTGGCTTTAGCTTGTTTCACAGTGTGTTCTTGGTACGTTCTGGGCTGGCAGGATTTTCGGGGCAGAGGGGTGTGAGTTTTAGTGGTGTTTCTCAATAGTCTCCCCTATGAAACTGGTGCAAGACTGGAAGCTGGAACCCCCTCTGCCTTGCAAAGGTCTCTTCACCCCACCAGAGCTGGATACCGGGTTCACGGAAGCTGGAGACTTAAGCTGGGTTTTGCCAGACTCCAGTTCCCCGCTCCAAGGGGGTAAAGTCCGCTCTGGAGCACAGGAGCCGGCGCCACATCTCCCCGCTCCGCTGGCTCTTGCCCCGTGGCATCGCCCTCACCGCCTTCCCCCTGCACGGGACGGCCGCCGGTGCTAATTACTAATCATTAATCAGGTTCCAGCCTGAAGGTTCAAGCTGCTTTTCGACCGCTTAATCCTCTGATCTGCTGCTTTGCCCCTGCTCCAGCCCCCTCCACGCGAGCCCCGGGGTGCAGGAGCTGCCCCTTTGCCTCCCACCCGTGGGACCACCCCTCCCTGGGACGCCTCCGGCCCCGCTGCCCCTCGCCTGCGGCGCTGGGACGGAAGGTATTTTTGGGGTTGTTACCCCTTAGATGCCGCAGTGGAAGGAAACCTCCTTGGGGGTGCCAGCGGTGAGGGGGCGGCGATGATTTCTCCCACTCGTGGGCTGCCCAGCACCATGTGCCACGGGTGACCCAGCCGTGATTCCACGCTGCCTTGCAGTTCGTGGATGCAGGCACGGGAGGGTGCAAGTGCTTTTCCTAACCCGTCTGCAGGCGTTGCGGGGAGGGAAGGATGGTGCTGGGGTGGGCACGCAGCGGCCCTCCCGTTGCAGCAACGAGAAAGAAAATTACCCGGAGCCAAAACCCCCTCGGGAAGGTTTAAATAGGGATGGGACATTTTCCTGGAAATCCGGCCAGAGCCGGG